CGGACGCCCCTCCCCCACAGAGCTGGACCGTCCGGGGTTCAGCTGCGCTTGCTGTGAAACTCTCAATCCAGAGTTTCTGGTTGCTGTTCTTTTGTGGGGGTGGGACCAGCCGAGCCTGATCGCCTGGCTCCCTGCCTCAGAGCCTTTTTTAAGTTGGTGTTCCAGTCGCCTGTTGAAGAGGCGCCGGGGTCTGTTTGTTTTCCCCTGCGGCCACTCACTGCGCTGGCTTAAACAGCGGCACTGAGGTTTGTGGCGCTTTTTTTTTTTTTTTGCCCTGGAATCTACTGTCCTGTTTCCCTGCTCAGTCCCCTTTTTAAACAGACGAATGGGCGACTTCTTGTGGCGTGTCCAATCACCAGCCAAAAGGGCCCCCGGACCGGTGTATTTTGTACGGAGAACCGCGGCTCCGGGGCGCTGACAAAGCAGCCGCGCGGGGCAAAGCAGTGGCGCTGGCCGGCACAGCCGCACTGGTGACCTGTGGAGTTCCTCCGCCTGGGAATTTCCTAGTCTGTGGGCAATAAAAATGCTGCGTCCACTCACCCTCTGCGCTTTCACTGGGAGCTGCAATCCTGAGCTGTTCCTAAATGGACATCTTGGATCGAGCCCCTCATTTATTACTCTTATTTTCTGAGTCCATACGGGAGAATCAAAAACTGGGAAATTTCAGAATATAAACATTTCCTATTATATCTTCTCAAAACACAGGTTGAAATAAAAGACGTATGTTCTTCAGAATATGATAAATCTGTGTCCTGGGAAAATACATGTTTGACAAATAAGAGAAGTGGAGTGCTTTGCTTGAAGGGGCCCTGTAGGCAAAAAGTTCTCATCTAGTGAGCTGGGCATCCTGGTTAATTTCTAAGTACCACAGTTTCTCAGCTGTAATAAAATCTCTGAAGATCTCTTTGAGACTGAAATTCTGTATTACCTTTCTTCATCTTCATAGACCCAAGACTTAGAAAGCACTTATCTAACTCTTAATTTCACATGAATTTTAGATTTACATGTAATAAAAATTTGATGTCTCCTCAAAGATCAGACAAATTAAAAGAAAGAGAGAGAATTTGTTTGCCTGAGGAGCCAATTCACTGTCCAAAATCACATCCGTATACCCTGGCAGCAGGCTTTGGGACTGCAGGAGAGCATTCTCAATTCCAGAGACCACTCTAGCCACTGTGAGAGCAGACATAGTCTAGTGGAGTCTCTCTCTGTAATTAGCATGGCCATTTTTTTTTTTTCAAGTAAGTAGTTGAAACCTACTGATTGTATGACAGTATCTTCTTTTCTCTATGCATTTAAAATTTCCCTAGACTTCCTAGGAAGAATATGCAAAGCTGCAGAGGAGGATGAGAGTGTTGGCAGTGTGAGGTTTAGGGAATCATGAGAGAGGCACAGACTGGAAAGGATGCTGATTTTGGGTCTCTGGGGGCCACAGAGTCCTCTCTCCAGACCCTTCACCATAAGAGAGAGGTAGGTCCCATCTCTTAGCTTTCTGTGCAGTTCTTCTGGGTCCTGACTTCAGTAAAGCCCTCTGTAAGTTTTCTACAATTTCTAGGGGACTGAGAGATTTTTGTTGATGTTTTGTTTTGTTTCTTTTCTTAATCCCTCAAATATGTTTCTAGAGAACTAGTTCCAAGATATTTGTGAATCATGTTTTAAAATTGAGGACAAAGTTTGATCCACTACAAAAAATTTAAAAAAAATCCTACCAAATCACGATCTAGAATTACCATTACTTTAATACATTATAAAAATGAAAATGTAAGATGGAGAGACAGCCACATCTTATGCTGTAGCACTATCTCTACTACCAGAGTTGGGAACTTTACATGTGTGTATTTGAAAACACAATATTATAGTTACTTTTCTCATTTTGTCTTCATCCAGTTAGTTTTACCACACAATGGCACCAATCATCCATGTTGGGATCGCTGTCTTAGTGATAACTTCTACTTGAAAACCAATGGCTCTTTTATCTACATTTTTAGTAACACTCCTTTATTAGTAAACCCTCAGAAAGATCTGATCTGTCCTTTCTCTCACAGTGGATGTATGTTGGACATGTTTAGCATAGCATGTGCTATATTGCATTGTGTGTTCTTTTCTCAAACATACTGGAAGAGCAGGGACACTTTTATGGTCTACAAAGAAGAGGATTTGACTGGTTTCACTGGGAGCTGGTCTCTTGTTTGCCCAGAAAGGATACCATTGTCCGCATACATGTCCACTGATCATGGCTGCTGATTCATTACCCCCAAGGTAGAGCCAGAAAAAAAATGGTTTAAACAAGAATTATTTTTTTACAAGTCAAATGGATAAAATTTTTAGAATAAATACAAGACCGAGAATTTTTTTAAAAAAATTATTTTCGATTGGCACAATAATTACACATATTTATGGAGCACATAGTGATGTTCTATAAAACACTAGAATTTATTCCTCCTGTCTTGCTGTAATTCTGTGCCCTTTAACAAATCTCTCCTTATCTTCTCTTCCTTCATACTCTTCCCAGCCTCTAGTATCCTCTGTTCTACTTTTTACTTCTATGAAATTAATTTTTTAAAGCTTCTACATATGAGTGAGCACATGCAGTATTTAATTTTCTGTTCCTGGCTTATTTTACTTAGGACCATGTTCTCCAGTTTCATCCACTTTGCAGTAAATAACAGAATTTTGTTCTTTTTTATGGCTGAATAGTAGTCCATTGTGTATATATATCATAATTTCTTTTTGCATCCATTGTTGGACACTCGGGTTGATTCCATATCTTGGCTATTGTGAACAGTGCTGCAATAAACATGAGGTGGCAGACATGCCTTTGATATACTGATTTCCTTTTGTTTGGATAAATAGCCAGTGGTGGGATTGCTGGATCATATGGTAGTTTTATTTGTAGTTTTTGGGGGAATCTCTATACTATTCTCCATAAGGGTTATACTAGTTTACATTTGCACCAATGGTGTATGAGAGTTTCTCTTTCTCTGCATCCTCACCAACATTTTTTGTATTTTTGACAATAGCAATTCTATCTGGGATAAGATGATATCTCATTGTTGTTTTGATTTGCATTTCCCTGATGATTAATGAGTTGAACATTTTTACATATATTCATTGGCCATTTGTGTATCTTGAGAAATATCTGTTCATATCATTTGCCCATTTTTAAATCAGCCTTAAAATTCTTTTTCTATTGAGATGTTTGAGTTCCTTGTATATTCTTGAATATTAATTCCTTGTCAGATGAATAGTTGAAAATATTTTCTCCCATTTTGTAGGTTGTCCATTCATTCTGTTGATTGTTTTCTTTGTTGTTTAGAAGCTTTTTCATTTAATATAATTTTATTTGTTTATTTTTGCCTTAGTTGTCTGTGCTTTTGAGATCTTTTTTATAAAATATTTTCCCAGACCGATGTCTTGAAGAATTTCCCCTATGTTTTCTTCTAGTAGCTATATATTTCAGATCTTAAATTTAGTCCTTGGATTCATTCTGAGTTGGCTTCTGTATAGGGTAAAACATGAGGGTCTAGTTTTATTCTTTGCATATAGATATCTAGTTTTCCCAGGACCATTTATTGAAGAGGTTGTCCTTTTCCCAGTGAATGTTCTCAATGCCTTTGTGAAAAATCAGTTGGCTGCCAATATGTGGATTAATCTCTGAATTCTCTATTCTGTTCCATTGACCTGTGTGTGTGTTTTTATGCTAGTGCCATGCTGTTTTGGCTACTCTAGTGTTGTAGTATATTTTGAAGAATAGTAATGTGATACCTTCAGCTTTGTTCTTTTTGCTGATAATTGCTTTGGCTATTCAGAGTCTTTTTTGATTCCATACAAATTTTAGGATTGTGTTTCTTTATTTCTGCGGTATTCTGGTAGGGATTGCACTGAATCTTTGGTTAGTATGGCCATTTTAACAATATTAATTCTTCCAGCTCCTAAGTATGGATGTCTTTCTATTTGTGTGTGTGTGTGTGTGTGTGTGTGTGTGTGTGTGTGTGTGTGTGTGTTTCTTACATTTCTTTCATCAGTGGTTTTAGAGTTTTCATTGTAGACTTCTGTCACCTCCTTGGTTAAATTCTTTTTCTAGATATTTTATTATTTTTGTAGTTATTATAAATGGAGTTGCTTTCTTGATTTTTTTTCAGCTAGCTTTTTGTCTGTATATAGAAACACCACTGATTTTTGTTGTTGATTTTGTAGCCTGTAACTTTACTAGTTTGTTTATCAGTTCTGAGTTTTTTGGTAGAGTCTTTAGATTTTTCTATATGTAAGATCATTTATGTGCAAACAGGAACATTTTTACTTCCTCGTCTCCAATTTGAACGTCCTTTATTTCTTTCTCTTGCCTAACTGCTCTGTCTAGGACTTCTAGTACTATACTAATTAAGAGTGGTGAGAGTGGTATCCTTATTTTGTTCCCATTCAGTATGATTTTAGTTTGTTATATGTGGCCTTTATTATGCTGAGTTACTTTCCTTCTGTACCGAATTTATTGAAGGTTTTTATCATGAAGGAATGTTGAACTTTGTCAAGTGCTTTTTCTGCACCTGTTAAGATGATTATGTGATTTTTTTCCCTTTATTCTGCTGATGTGATGTATCATATTTATTGATTTGCCTGTGTTGAACCATCCTTATATCCACAGGATGAATTCTACTTGATCATTGTGTGTGATCTTTTTGATATGCTGTTGGATTCAATTTACTAGTATTTTGTTGAGAATTTTTGCCTCTATGTTCATTAGGGATATTGGTCTAGAGTTTTCTTTTAATTTCGAGTCCTTATCCAGTTTTAGTATCAGAGTTATGCTGGCCTCCTAGAAGGGTTTCCTTGAATAGAAGAATTGGTATTAATTCTCCTTTAAGAGTTCAGTAGAATTCAGCTATGAAGTCATCCAGTCCTGGAGTTCTCCCTGTTGGGAGGCTTTTATTACTGATTCATCTCATTACTTGTTATTGGCCTATTCAGGTTTTCTATTTCTTTTTGATTCAATGTTGGTAGGTTGTATGTATCCAGGAATTTAGCCATTTCCTCTAGGTTTCCTTCTGTGTTCTGTATCTGATTTCTAATGAGAATAGATATATTACAGTATCTAAATGTTTTAAAATTTAATAATTTTAAGACTAATATAGGAGATAGGAATAGGGAAACAAAGTTTGGCTGGCAGCATGATTGATGATGGTTGAATTTTTGGTGAGGAAATAGACCCCTGGCCTTGATCTAGATGGAGGAAGAGTAAGACAAAGAGCACTATATTGGTTGCCGAATAAAACAAGGAGCATTTAAATTTGTCACGGTAACTTAAGAAGCAAAGAGTGAGAGGGCTCTGGATGAACGGGAAGCAGGGTCAGCTGCATGGAAGGCTGTAGGAGGCAGGGGTCAACCAGTGAGATGCTTCCCAGGGGAAAATGGCCGGGAGGCTTCTAGGATCAGGAGTGTCAAATATGAACTAATAGGCAGTGTTCTGTCATGTGCTCCTTTACCTCTGACTCCTTAGTAAATTTTATTAAAACTATCGAAAGATGGTAGTTTTATCAAAATTAAAGTTGTTTGAGAACTTTAAAATAGTCGATGAACAGTTGTAATCATGGAAAAGCATCCATGTTTCCACATTTGATTTGATGCAGACCGGAGAGAAACAGCAGATGCAAGCATTGAGAATCCAAGTGAAAGACAGTTAAACAGAAGGAGGATATTAGAAGAGGGAGTAACTATGAGAAATGGAAAGTCCCTGAGATTCCTGAGAAATGCAGGGAGTTGACTAAGTGAGGGATGGGGAATAAACTCATTTTTATTTTAACATTAAAGAGAAGAGTGCTCTCATAAGATGGAAGACTTGGAAACACCCACACAGCAGATTCTTGGGTTGCACTAGCAAATACATCTGACGCTTTTTCAAATGGCAGCTTCTCCTGACTTGTTACTGACAAGTTGAGCAATGTCTTCAACTTTATGGTGTAAACGGAACTGGGAATCCTGCCTATGACATCCAACATCCTCATGTCATGGGAGGATCATGGTAAAGTTATTCTCAGCACCCAAAATTCTACATAGGAAAATGATTATATGGGTAAGGCATATTCAAAATAATCTGGTTTTAGTGCCCAAGCCCACAAAGCTGTGTTGTATAAAATATTGCTTCCTTTAAAATGATGGTCTTGAGAAAACAACATCAAACAGAACTTTTTGAGATCAAGAACAGGAAATGAATGATTCAGCAGGCTGGATATCACCCAAGGAGCTGTCTTCACAGCTGTAAGGAATAGCTGTGAAAGGTTCCAGGGGACTTGCCTGGTACCATTTGAAGGCAGTCAGGCTGGGAACCAGAGAGAGCTCCACAGAGTGTGGTGAAGAGCAGTTGGAGAGCCAAGCTTCAACCCCTCAGAAATATGTCATCCTGGTGCCACTCTTTCTTGTCTTCTAACTGCCTCTGAATCCACATTTGGAGATGTTCCATGGTGACTCAGGACTTGAGAGAAAGCAAGCATCATCCATGGCAGGAAAGTCAAGGTGTTTGTTCTGCTCTGAGAGACTGAAAGGATGATTTATCATGGAAGCTGACATTGCTGTACTGTTTTCCAAAATCTAATATAGTTCTGGTTATCTGGAAAGGACTGCCTTTGGGCAAAGCTGGGGTGAGAGTGCAGTTAGTGCTGATTCATTTGTGTGATCTCTCTCTCTCTCTCTCTCATATCTTAAACTACAATTAGCAAACAACCAGATTTTGGCTGCTATCATCTTATGTCTGCCCAGTGATTCTTGCCTGTACAACACTGCTGACTCTGTGGAGTACATTTTGGAGGAAATAGCCCAGGCATTAAGATTTGAGACCTGACTTTGGAAAAGAGTAGAAGCCCTCAAGTGCATCTTCTTGAACACATGGTGCCTTCCTTTAGCAGAAGAGCAAAACCCATCTACCTCCTGTAAGCATTTCCACTACTTAGTCCTGAAACGTGTTCCACAAAGCCTTCTTCATCTTCTCCATCTTTCTAAAACATGTGTTTTCATCATGTCACTCTTTTGCTCAAAAATCTTCAGATATATCTACAGTATCATTATAGTACGAGAGATTTTTTTTTCTGAGTCTTATCTGTGTTCTGTTTATTTTATGCATCTCTGCAGCTGCACACAACCTTTTCAGAATGAGCTGGGGTATACATGCAAGGACACATACATGCCTCATATGTAATAAGACATACCTTAGGCTTTTTCTGTCATCTAACGTTTCTGTCAAAGGCCATGAGCTGAGGACGAGGATAGAAAAGCGCCTCATATTTTTCCAACTGTGCTTAATCTTCTCCAGGAATTATTAAGAGGTGGCCAAAGTGGTCTTACGAATCTCTGTTCCAATCATCAAATATTCATAGAAAGAGAAGACTATAAGTGTAAGGGGAGTTAAATATAGTGGAGGAAGTTTCTGCAGTTTTCATGTTGCATTGTTGCCTAAGTGGGGACTGCCCAGCAATTCCTGTCCCGCAAACCAGGTGAGAAGGGCTCTGAGGAAACTGTTCATGGAAACTGTGGTTGCTAAGAGAAAGGAAACCTGCATTTCCCTGCACAGTGAGGTGCTTTGCTGAGCTATGGTGTCTGCAGGTCTTCCCCAGGGCTTCCAGTCCAGCAGAAGGAAGACTGGTAAGAGAATTCTCAGGATAATTTTGTGTATCTCTGAAAACTTATGGTGTTTGTGAGTATGGACAGCAATGCTCACTTCTGACCTAAGGAGTCCTGATGGCGGGAAGCTGGATAGAGCAGGTGCAATTGCAGGGTGAGGACGAAGGTCAGAAGCATGGCAAGGATGCTTGAGTTTGTCAAAGTGCACAGACACTGAAGAGGAGAGCCAGCCTAAAGTCTTTTTAAAGGCACCCTTATGGAGAGGACTAGCTTTGGGGTCCATGCCAGCTATGAGCATTTTTGTCAGTTGTATTCCTAGGGTCAGGGGCTTGTAGATGGTCACAAAGGAGAGCTGGAGAGCACAGTAGCTACATCAATCTGCACAGGGCTTCTAGAGAGGCAGCACATGCACCCCATGAGAAATATAACTTTAGGCCAGCCCATGGTGACCAAAAGAACTACATCAACAGGAACAGTTAAATAATACAGACTAAAAACATTTCCTCCACCCCATTCTCAAGACCTGAGAGAGACCACAGAATCTGACCCAGATGTTGATAAGGGAAGGGAGGGCTTGTATAGCACTTTTAAGGTGCTGGAGGAAAAAATAAAACTGTTTGTTGTTTTTACTCCAATAAGTTTAGTCTGTGCAATAAGCATTTTACTTCTTCTTCAAAAATCTACTTCTTCAAAAATCTACGTTTTTACTATTCCATAAAAGAAAATGTGTACTTCTTGTACACATATGTTGAAATGGTAATGCCCAAGGTCATGACATTAGAAGGTGGGGGCCTTTGGGAAAATGATTAGGTTATGGGATTGGTGCCCTTATCAAAGAAGCCCAGAGAGCTCCCTTGCCCCTTCCACTGTGTGAGGACACAGTGAGGAGATAGCTGCCGTTGAACCAGGAAGCAGGTCCTCACTGGACACCAAATTGGCTAGCACCTTGATTATGGACTTCTAACCCTCCAGAACTGTGATAAATAAATATGCCTCATTTGCAAAAGTTGAAACATGAGTTATAAGACCAATTTACCAAACTACCATGTTAATGACCGAGTAAGATTTTGAATCATTTTAGTAGAATCTCCAAATGATACAAGTTTAAGGGCAGAAGGTCAAATTTCTGTGTTTTATTTCCCAGCTTAGATTTCTGGAGGTCTCTAAATAATGTCTGTCCTTTTCAGTGGTGTTACCTTTCCTAGGGAAGGTCTGGGATCTACAAATGCTGTGTGTGCTGCTGCTGGGGATTTATGGCTGAGTGTTTCTAGTGGATTCAGGCCATCCTTTCTGGGAATTTTGGCAGCATTTGCAACTGGATTCCTGCAGCGCAGCCTACTGCACAGCTCCTGTCCTAGGACCTTATGTTCTCTTCTTTTTGGTTGAATTTTTTGTTTTCCCAAGGTACATTCTTTAGTAGCTTTTAAAGAATAGGTACATGAAAAGCGCATTCTTTAAGTTCTTACATGCCTGAAATTTTTATTTTGCCTGTACACTTTATGAATAGTTTGAGGGATTTTGTTGTTGTTATTGAATATAGTTCATACACCATAATATTTGTCCATTAAGTTATGCCATTCAGTGGTTTCAGTGTATTCATAAAGCTGTCCACCCATCACCACCATCTAATTCCAGAACATTTTCATGATTGACTGGGGACTTAACTTTTAGTTATTTATGCATCCAATATCCTATAAAAGTTGGGAGTAAGGACTACATATCATATACCTAGTGCTAGGCAAAAGCAGTTGTTCATTTATGCAAAGGTAAATGGAAGTCTAGAGACTGTCACTGGGTTTGGTGAAGTAAGAGGCTGTTTTGGGAAAGCCCGTGGTGTAAGGATCTGTGGGCAACCTACAAGAGATGAGGAATTCTCCAACTAATACCAGAAAGAGGCTGGGAACCTCAGTCTTACAACTGCAAGGAAATGCATCTGTCAACAACCTAAGTGAACTTGGAAGCAGATTCTTCCCCAGTAGAGCCTCCAGGTGAAAACACAGCCCAGGCAATCCTTTGATTACAGCCTTGTGAGATTCTAAGCAGGAAATTCACCTAAGCTGTGTTCAGAATTCTGATCCACAGAAACTGTGAGGTAATAAATATGTGTTACTTTAAGCTGCTAAGTTTTGAGGTAATATATTACATAGCAACAGAAAACTAATACATTTGACCTCAACATCTTCCTACTATTCATTTCAGTGATTGCTCCAGCATGGGGCAGCTAGCCTTCATTTGGCATTTGTCAGCAACCAAGAATGGGCCTTCAGATTGAAGAGATATCCCCAATATATCATAAATTTACTTCAGCATTTGAAGAAGTCATTATTCCTCACATTCCTTTGAGGAAAATAGTTTGAAAGTCCAAAAGCAAGTCTGCAAAGTCATGACATGGTGAATGTCTTCAGAGTCTTCCCTACTGTAGGGAAAGAGCTGAGGAATAGAGCGGATACCAGCACTGCCATTGCTAGGACTGAAACTATGAAAGAGACAGAAGGTATTATTTGTTGAAATCCCATTTTTGTTTGTTTGCTTTGAAGGATGAGGAGACTGGAGCCCAGAGATCTGATAGGTAACAGCTGGAAGGGCTACACAGACCATCAGATTTAGAATCAGGCAGATCCTAGATCACCTACTGAAAAACAATGCAGTGAAGATCTACTTTAAATTTTGATTGTGGTAATTAGCAGCATGTAAAGCATTTAGGATGGGGTGGCATTTAGCACATGCTCAAGTTTCTTTCTAGCCTTCCTGTTTTCACTTGCTCACGGTCACAAAGTTAGTCACACCTAGAGGTAAAATGACTCCAAAATTGTTTGTTTGCTTGCTTGCTTAACTTTTCCATCCTAATGCCCACAGTACTTCTCCTGGAAGAGCCTGCCCAGTCCTGACCGAGGCTGCTGTGCCACACAGCCAGTGTTAGTGCCAAATGTCAGCAACCTGCCTGATTCTGGTGCCAAAACTGCACCCTGAGCTTTGGAGCCAAGCAGGAAACAAATATCCAGGGAAATGAAGTGTTGGATTTCATTTATTTATTGGAATTTGCTTTTATGTATTAAATTCTGCTGTTCTGTCTTGCAGGAATCTTCTAGGAAACATGGCATGAGGCACGTGCTGCTACATTGATCCAGTTTGCACTGGACGAGATGCTCATGACTTCTCCTGGTTCTCAGACTCCTTGAATTGGATGGGGCATGATGGTTACACACTGAGGGCACAGTCTTCACTGCCTGAGTTTCACATTGTTCAGAGGGGCCTTTTAATTCTTCCCAGGGACACGTTTTCTTGAGTCTTCATCACTAAATTTTCTGGGCAGACGGAATAGCAGAAAAAGCACTTAGGTGGGAAAACATTTGGTGCATTTGAGGAACTAAAAGAAGGCCAGTAGTTGTGGAAAATGAGAAATATATGTTAGAGTAGCGGCAAGTGAAACCACAGAGGTCGAGAGGGCCAAGCTTAGCAAATCCCTGCAGGTGGCGATGAGATGCATTTCTCTAGTTGCGATGAGATTTTTACTTTTTAACAATCCAATTAATCAAGTAAACAACAAAGCTTAAGCAATAGAGCATGACTAATAGTGTCAAACACCTTTCTGTGCCTCTCATTGTTACTACTCCCACCCCTCCCCAGCTAAGTTTCCACTACGTATTGTGAAATGTATATTTACGAATCAATTGCTTTTGGTGTGGTTTTGTCTCGTAAGAATGCTTTCCCAAACACACATATTGTGATGTTTCATACAATTTTGACTTTTATGGACATAGAACAGTTCTACCTGTCTTCTTTGGCAACTGTATCGATGTCTCAACTTTGATTTTCCTGATTCACCCATGTAAATGTGTGCCAGTGTAATTTTGCTATGTATAGTATTCTATCGCACGGCTATACCTATAGACAGCAGCTGTCTCCAGTTATTATTGTAACAAATGCTGGTGCTATGGACCTCTTTGTACAGGTCATATTGGGTATGCCTGCGAGCACTTTTCTGGGACACAAAAATAAGAGTAAATTCGCTGAGCCATATCTTATGCATATCTCCAAATTTAAGAGAAAATACCCAATTGTTTTCCAAAATAGTTGAACCAATTTACATTATCAGCAATAGAGTATGAATCCTCATCTTTCTACATGCTCACAAAATGTTTTTATTTTTTTAAATTCGCCAGTCTTTTGAGTGTAAGAATGTATCTCATGACTTTAATTTGCCTTTGGTTCATTATTAACAAAATTGAGCGTCATGTCATTTGTTAATTTGTTTTCATGTTTGTTTTCTAATGAGTTGCCTATTTGTATTTTTGCCCATTTTCATAATGTTTTTTTTTTCATTTATATAAGTTCTTTTAAAATATTGTATAATGATCGCTTTTAAAGATCATGCACTGAAAATATCTTTGCCCAATTTGTGGCCTTTTTAGGTTTACTGATAATAGATTCTTTCATAATAATGATAGGTTCTTTCCTAAACAGACATTTCAATATGTACATAGTAGAATTGATTTTCTTTTGAGTTTTGCTTTTTGTATCTTGTTTGCTGAATCCTTTTTTACCTGGAGATAACAAAGATCTATGTTCCCTTCTGAAGTTATCAAGTTTTATTTTTTAAGTCTTTAATTCATCTGGAATTAATTTTTCAGTTGGCATAGGGGTAAAAGGATCTTATTTATTTTACTATGAGATTAATCCATTGGTCAAGCACTAGGAATTAAGTCCTTTTCCCATTCTCTACCATACTTCTGTATATAATATTTATTAAATCTGAAATTGCTCTGGATCTCTTCCTACTGTCCTGCTTTTCTTAGATGTTTGTTTAAGAATTTCTTACACTGTTTCAGAAGTTTGCTGTTTTTTTAAAAAAAAAAGATTTTTATGCAGCATTTAAAATTCTTTTCAGCAGGAAGTTTAGTCTAAAGAGCTGGCCTGCCATTTTCAACATCTGCAGATTATTTAACTTTAAATCATTCCTACATTTCTGGGATAAACTCAATTTAGCCATTGCATATTTATTTTAACACTAGTGAATTTGTATTGTTAAATTTTGTTTAAGATTTTTGCATACATATTTATGAGTAGTATTTGTCTAATTTTCTTGTACATAATGTTCTTCTCTGTTTGTTTTGTCGTAGTAATCTTAGGCTCATCATACAATGAGTGAGGAGTGCATCTCCATTTATGTTCTCTGGAAGACTTTAACACTGGAATGATTTGTGATTTAAAACTTTTGCAAAATTTTCTAATGAAATATTTTGGGCTCGGTGTTTTCCTTCTGGGAAGATTTCTTTTTAAATTATACTTTAAGTTCTGGGGTACATGTGCAGAACATGCAGGTTTGTTACATAGGTATACACATGCATGATGGCTTGCTGCATCCATCACCCTGTTATCTACATTAGATATTTCTCCTAATGCTATCCCTCTCCTATCTTCCTAACCCCTGCTATCCCTCCTCTAGCCCCACCCCCCAACAGACCCCAGTGTGTGATGCTCCCTTCCATGTATTCCATTTGTTCAACACCCACTCATGAGTGAGAGCATGTGGTGTTTAGTTTTCGGTTCTTGTGTCATTTTGCTGAGAATGACGGTTTTCAGCTTTATTCATGTCCCTGAAAAGCACATGAACTCATCCTTTTTTATGGCTGTATAGTATTACATGGTGTATATGCACCACATTTTCTTTATCTAGTCTGTTTTTATGGGCATTTGGGTTGGTTCCAAGTCTTTGCTATAGTGAACAGTGCCACAATAAACATATGTGTGCATGTGTCTTTATAATAGAATGATTTATAATCCTTTGGGTATATACCCAGTAATGGGATTGCTGAGTCAAATGGTATTTCTATTTCTAGATTCCTGAGGAATTGCCACACTATGTTCCACAATGGTTGAACTAATTTATACTCCCACCACAGAGTAAAAGCACTCCTATTTCTCCACATCCTCTCCAACATCTGATGTCTCCTGATTTTTTTTTAATGATTGCCATTCTAACTGGCATAAGATGATATCTCAGTGTGGTTTTGATTTACATTTCTCTAACGACCAGTGATGATGAGTTTATTTTCGTATGTTTGTTGGCTGCTATCAGAACGATTCTTTAGATAAATTAGAAGAATTAGCAAAACAGTTTTGGAAACGAAATTAAATAACTACCAGTATGCATTTCAAAAAAAAGAAAAAAGGGAGAGAAGTGTCTGTTCATATCCTTTGCCCACTTTTTGATGGGGTTGTTTTTTTCTTGTAAATTTGTTTAAGTTCTTTGTAGAATCTAGATATTAGCTCTTGTCAGATGGGTAGATTGCAAAAATTTTTCCCCATTCTGTTGGTTACCAGTTCACTCCAGTGATAGTTTCTTTTGCTATGCAGAAGCTCTTTAGTTTAATTAGATCTCATTTGTCTATTTTGGCTTTTGTTGCCCTTGCTTTTGGCGTTTTAGTTATGAAGTCCTTGCCCATGCCTATGTCCTGAATGGTATTGCCTAGGTTTTCTTTTAGGGTTGTTATGGTGTTAGGTCTTATGTTTAAATCTTTAATCCACTTGGAGTTAATTTTTGTATAAGGTATAAGGAAGCCAAATCATGAGTGAACTCCCATTCACAATTGCTACAAAGAGAATAAAATCCCGAGGAATATAGCTAACAAGGGATGTGAAGGACTTCTTCAAGGAGAACTACAAACCACTACTCAAGGAAATAAGAAAGGACACAAACAGATGGAAAAACATTCCATGCTCATGGTTAGGAAGAATCTATATTGTGAAAACAGCCATACTGCCCAAAGTAATTTATAGATTCAATTCTATCCTCATCAAACTACCATTGACTTTCTTCACATAATTGGAAAAAACCGCCTTAAGCTTCATACGGAACCAAAAGAGAGATCGTATAGCCAAGACAATCCTAAGCAAACAACAACAATAACAACAATAAAGCTGGAGGCATCATGCTATTTGACTTCAAACTATACTACAGTAATCAAAACAGCATGGTACTGGTACCAAAACAGAGATATAGACCAATGGAACAGAACAGAGGCTTCAGACGTAACACCACACATCTACAACCAGATGATCTTTGACAAGCCTGACAAAAACAAGCAATGGGTAAAGGATTCCCTATTTAATAAATGGTGTTGGGAAAACTGATTAGCCATATGCAGAAATCTGGGAAGATTTTGACCTATTGATTCAATTTCTTAATGTTGCAAGATTATTCTCGTATTCTATTTGCTAAGTTATATTTGGTAAAAATATGCCATTTTCTAAGTATTTAAATATGTTGATTAAGGTTGATTTTTAAAAGCATTTTCTTTACTATTGTTCATGTATACCTTTTGTCTTGATCAATGTCATTAGAGCTTGGCCTCATAATTCTTTTCAGATAACCAACTTTAGGCTTTGTTCACCATTTTAAATTTATCTTTATTTTCTATTTCATTAATATCTGATATCATATTCATATCTTCTATCTACTGTATCTACTTTTTTTTTTTTTTTTTTTTTTTTTTGAGATGGAATCTCCCTCTATTGCCCAGGCTGGAGTGCAGTGGCATAATCTCAGCTCATTCCAACCTCTGCCTCCTGGCTCAAGTGATTCTCTTAACTCAGGCTCCTAAGTAGTTAGGATTGCAGGCATGCACAACTACACCTGTCCTGGCCTCCTGAAGTGCTAGGATTACAGGCGTGAGCCACCATAACTGGACCCCTTCTATCTACTCTTTTAAAGTTTATTTTGTGATTCTTTCTGCAGCTTCTTTAGACGAATACTTAACTCATTAATTTTCTTTCTCCTTTCTTTCTAATTAAACATTTAAGACTAAACCTTTTCTCTAAGAAATACTTTAGCTTTAACCCATTTTAAGTTTTAAAATGTAGTATTTATGTACCATTCCATTCCAGTAGTTCATACTTTACAACATGATTTTGAATTTTACTTGTGCATTATTTGGAATCATGTCTTAAAATTTCCATATAAATACAGTCTTTTTCCTTTCTTTACTTTTTTTTTTTTTTTTTGAATTGAGACAGAGTCTAGCTCTATCACTCAGGCTGGAGTGCAGTGGCATGATCTTGGCTCACTGCTTCCTGGATTCAGGTGATCCTCTGTCTCAGCCTCCTGAGTAGTAATTGGACTACAGGTGTGCAGTTTTTTCTCAGTCATCTTTTTTATATTTGTAAATTAATTCCTTTGCTGTCAGAAAACACAATCTGGATGATACCAAATTTGTTGAGTTTTTTTAACAGCTTAGTATGTAATATTTTAACAATATACATTATAATGTGTATAAAGAAGATAGCAAATGTATATTCTTTAATTATTGGGTACCTAGTTTTCTATCTACTTATCTATGTATTTATATCTCTCAAGCCTGTAAATTGTATTGTTCAAATTAAATTATCTGTATCTTTACTATTGGGGGTATTAGTTTGACTTATCAATAACAGATGTTAACTGTTTCTCGCTATGATAATGAATTTGTCAGTTTCTCTTTGTAATTTTAAAAATAATTTTATTTATATACTTGAGATATTAGGTTACACGATTCCTAGTAATATGACATTTTTTCATCGTGTAGCAACTTTTTAACTCTCCAATAAATACTCTGCTGTGAGAAATCTATTATGTCTGAAATTCACAGAACTACACCTGCTTTCTTTGGTAATTTATTTAGTACATTGTTACTATCCTTTTACCTTTAATCATGTAATATACCATGATATCTTCTTCTTATTGTATAAATGTCTGTTTTCTCTGTAGTCAACAACTGTCTTCTTTTTCATTTGTTTAGTTTCATACAATATGACATATCCAAACTCTCTCCTATTTAACAAAGCCACCTGTAAACCCTTTAAACAGATTGTTATATCGTTTTCATTTTCTTGGAGATGTCTGACCTACTCCAGAATGTGCTAATTGTTCTCTAGCTCTACTACTTTTGTTGGAATTTTGGAAATGTTTTTGTCTCTTTCCTGAGTTAGAAGCTGTTCCCTGGATCTGATTTTTTTCCTGGTTTTGGGCAGCCTCATTGTTAGGTTTGGGAGAATGCGCTGGATGGACAGTCTCGGTTGCCCCACAGATCTACTCTCTGAACTTTTCTACCTTACTTTGTGTCCTATGAGGCTGATTTTTATGCATTGCATCAATCTTTTGCTTTATGACTTTCCCAAGGACAGGGCCAGCGGGAAGCACCAACAGGAGACAGAGGAAGAGGGGAGCAAGGGCGGAGTGTTTGACCATGGCTTCCCTCTGTCCTAGTCCCCACTAGCTTTCCTTATTCCTTCATCAAATTCCATAAACTTCTAG